TGAAGACAAAACAATGCCATAGACATAAAATGTTTGGCGCTCCGCACGGATTTCTTGGATCCGCGCTGGACCCCCTCACCAGCGCGCGGAGCGCGCCAGGGGCGGCGCCGGAGGCGCCGCCGGGGTGGCCCATCGCGGATCTAAGAAATCCGCGCGGAGCGCCAAAGTTTATGTTTATGTTTTTCTTCTCCGATAGAAGGAAGCTGCTTCTTAGAAGGCGCCGACCTTACATCTGCAGACAAGGCCCGCGCCTTCCAAGAAGCAGGGGTGCTTCTAAGAAGCCCCCCCCTCCCCCTACTCCCCTCTGCGCGCCGCCGAGAAGACGCAGGGCCAGAAAGCGAAAGGGATTGTCAAGCCAGATCCCCGTTTGGAAACGAGGACGCCCCCCTCGGTGTAGCTGCTACACAATATCAGACGTCGGACCGTAGCAGTTGAGAAAGTCTGAAGGAAGATCCACATGTTGGAAGGAAACGCCCGCCATCCTTGTAGCTGTTGCATGAGTTTGCGAGGTGGATGGTGAGTTGAGAGGAAATATCCAGCGAACGCCGCATTTTGAAAACAGCAAGTAAGCATTAATTCCCATGACGGGTGGAAGATGTTACACCCACTGTGTGCTCGGCGCTCACATGAGAGCTACATCATGTAAATGACACGTATGCTGCCCATGGGATTGTTGAGCATTTTCGGAAAGAATGTGCGCGGCTCCAGAGAGAGAGGGTCGCAGTGTAAAATCGATTCGCCCTATCCTTGTGCCCGCTGGGAGTTCTCAGAACGAATGAACGCGGCTCTACGGCGAGAGACACATTTTGAAATCGGCCTCAACTGGCTGGATGCTTAACCTCCAAAGTAAGTCTGAGACTGCCAGCCAAACCGCTCTACCAACACGCCTAATGGCGAGCCGAAGAGGACTATTGTCAGGAAGAGGGACGGATGGGAAGGGGGATGAGTAGGAGGAGCAGGAGGGGAGAGGATGAGGAGGAGGAATAGAACGGCCCAGCGAGGCGTGAAGGGGCTGGAAAGTCAAGAGCAGGGGGCGACGGGTTACCCGCCGAAGAGACATCGAAAAATATCTGGAGCCCCTCGACGAGGGGTTATTCCGAAAGGCACGAGACAGGACGAGGGGAGGGGGAGGGACAAGGAGGAGGACGAAAGACGAGGAGGTCAGTAAGTCGAGCTGCGCATGGCCACTTCACTAGTCCATACCCAATACACTGTCAATAACCCCCTATCCCACTACTCCCATCCCAGCACACGGTCTCAAGTTCGGAAGCATTGGCCATCTGACAATTCAAAACCAAACCTGCAGAGAATGCCTTGAGGTGGATGCGTCCCACGGCCATGAGAAGTTCTTTCCCAACCGCATGAGGTCTAGCATCTTGAGACGAAGAGGGCGACGTAGAAGGAATGGGTGGACAATGACAATGCTGGAGGACGGAGAGGACGAGGGAGAAGGAAGAAGCGGAGGATGAGGCCACAAAAGGCCCCTCGGCACCACGCAGTCCTCCCATAATCTTCCCAGAGCCCCCACAGTCCTGAACGGTAAAACTCGTGTCAAACAACGACGCCCTAGTAGCCGAGGGTGTGTGACGACTGCCAAGCGCGCACAGGGAACCAGCGCAACATTTGCACTGACACTGGCACGCGAGAATACTCAACATGTGACTGCTACACGGACAATGCTTCTTCCAGCCATTGAATTACGCCTGGGCGAGATGGAACAAAGACGATACGCTCAGTGTGTCTTGGAAACGCCCTGGGCGATTCTTTATGGTTTCCAGCTTTTGTGTTTTGCGAGCCAACAGCGAACACCTGGGAACTATCAACAAACGGGCCCTGGAAACTATCAAAAAATGTCTCCGCGCGATCGATTGGAAACGATGTTGAAACGAGTCGGCGCAAGCTGGAAACGGTAAGGAAACGGCCCCATGAAAACTATAAAAGACGGGTTGGTGAACCAGCGGCACAAGACCAGAGTGCCGATGATAATGTATACACAGGGGACGGCGCAGTGGGCATCTTCAGCAGCGTGCAGTAGCAGCAGGCAGTAACAACAAGCAGTATCAGCACCGGACAGCATAGGAGGAAGGCGGCGGCGGCAGCGGGCAGGAGGTGCAACAGAGAAGCTGGTTGGAGAGAATGTCGAGCTCTCATCGTGCGTTACCTGTCAATCGCTGTCCGACCCACCGGAATGGGGGGTTGGAAACGCGTTGAAAAACGTATTGGAAGCGTATTGGAAACGGTCTCGACCAGGCAACTTCGACCCTTGGCCCAGGGGAAGCGGAACCATTGAGGATGTCGCCGCCGCCGCTGAGGCCGCGGTTACGACGCCGACGCCGCCGTTATGACACCGACGATGTCTCCTGCTCCGCGCACGGGATCGGACAGCGATTGACAGGCAACGCACGATAAGAGCTCAGAGAAGACTTTTGGAGAGAGAGTGTCGAGCTCTTATCGCGCGTTGCCTGTCGATACTGGATGCAACACAGCACGTTGCAAGGCTGACCTGGAAACGATGGAAAACAACTGGAAACTATGAAAAAAACAACGATCCCTTGGATTGACGTTGGAAACAATCAAAAAAACACATCGCCACGGAGACCTGGAAACGACAAAAAACGGGAGCCAGAAATTAGCCTGACGAAGGACCCAACCATATGCAGTTGTGAGCACCGTCGTTGTATGCATCGCATTCGGAGGATCTCCCTATAGGGCCACGAAACGTGTGAGGGATGTGCCAACATTTGTCCCGTGGGCGCATGCGAAAGCAGCCGCTGGGGCCGTCGGTGGAATTCCTTATGGGGCCACGAAGCGCGTGAGAGGTGTGCCGACATGGGTGTGGGTGACGCATGGGGGCGGTGGTACTGGGGCCGTCGGTGGAGCTCCCTATGGGGCAGCGAAACGCGTGAGGGGTGTGCCGACATGGGTGCGGTGGGCGCATGCGGGCGACCGGCACCTCGGGTGGAGCTCCCTATGGGTCATGAAACGTGTGAGGGGTGTGCCGAAACGGGTGTGGGTGACGCATGCGGGCGCTGGCACTGGGGCCTTCGGTGGAGGTCCCTATGGGGCCACGGAACGTGTGAGGGGTGTGCCGAAATGGATGCGGGTGGCGCATGCGGGCGGTGGCACTGAGGCCGTCGGTGGAGCTTCCTATGGGGCCACGAAAAAAACGTGTGAGGGGTGTGCCGCCATGGGTGTGGGTGACGCATGCGGGCGGTGGCACTGGGACCTTCGGTGGAGCTCCCTATGGGGCCACGAATTGCGTGAGGGGTGTGCCGACATGGGTGTGGGGTGACGCACGCGGGCGGTGGTACTGGGGTCGTCGGTGGAGCTCCCGATGGGGCCACGAAACGCGCGAGGGGTGTGCCGACATGGGTGTGGGGTGACGCATGCGGGCAATGGCACTGGGGCCTTCGGTTGAGCTTCCTATGGGGCTGCGAAACGTGTGAGAGGTGTGCCGACATGGGTGTGGGTGACGCACGCGGGCGGTGGCACTGGGGCCTTCGGTGGAGACCCCCATGGGGCCACGAAGCGTGTGAGGGGTGTGCCGACATGGGTGTGGGTGACATGCGGGCAGTGGCACTGGGACCTTCGGTGGAGCTCCCTATGGGGCCTAGAACCGTGTGAGGGGTGTGCCGACATGAGTGTGGGGTGACGCATGCGGGCGGTGGCACTGGGGCGTCGGTGGAGCTCCCGATGGGGCAGCGAAACGGTGAGGGGTGTGCCGACATGGGTGCGGTGGGCGCATGCGGGCGATGCCACTGAGGCCTTCGGTGGAGCTCCCGATGGGGCCACGAAACGCGTGAGAGGTGTGCCGAAATGGGTGTGGGTGACGCATGCGGGCGGTGGCACTGGGGCTTTCGGTGGCGCTACCTATAGTGCCACGGAACGTGTGAGGGGTGTGCCGAAATGGGTGTGGGTGACGCACGCGGGCGGTAGCACTGGGACCTTCGGTAAAGCTACCTGTTGGGGCACGGAACGTGTGAGGGGTGTGCCGAAACGGGTGTGGGTGACGCATGCGGGCAATGGCCTTGGGGCTTTCGGTGGGGCTCCCGATGGGGCCACGAAACGCGTGAGGGGTGTGCCGACATGGGTGTAGGTGACGCATGCGGGCGTTGGCACTGGGGCCTTCGGTGGAGCTCCCGATGAGACCACGAAACGCGTGAGGGGTGTGCCGAAACGGGTGTGGGTGACGCATGCGGGCGCTGGCACTGGGGCCTTCGGTGGAGGTCCCTATGCGGCCACGAAACGTAGAAGGGGTGTGCCGACATGGGTGCGGTGGGCGCATGCGGGCGATGCCACTGAGGCCTTCGGTTGAGCTTCCTATGGGGCCGCGAAACGTGTGAGAGGTGTGCCGACATGGGTGTGGGTGACGCACGCGGGCGGTGGCACTGGGGCCTTCGGTGGAGCTCCCTATGGGGCCACGAAACGTGTGAGGGGTGTGCCGAAACGGGTGTGGGCATGCGGGCAGTGGCACGGGGGCTTTCGGTGGAGCCCCCATGTGGGGCCACAAAACATGTGAGGGGTGTGCCGACATGGGTGTGGGGTGACGCACGCGGGCGGTGGCACTGGGGTCGTCGGTGGAGCTCCCGATGGGGCCACGGAACGTGTGAGGGGTGTGCCGACATGAGTGTGGGTGACGCATGCGGGCGGTAGCACTTGGGCCTTCGGTGGAGCTCCCTATGGGGCCACGAGACGCTGTACTGAGTTGGTGAAGCGCAGGGGGGAGGGAGGAGGGGGATGAGGAGGAGTGGGTGACGCGGGGCGCTGTCATTTCAAAACGAAGACCCAACACTACATGATGGTTGGGAACTATTGGAACCGTGTTTTTGAACGACATGTGGGAGCTATACAAAAAATGGCTTTTCCAAGACACACTACGACGATACGAACTGCGGAGGTTCGAGCTAGCACCAAATTCTTTTACTGTTCTGCAACTTCGGTGGAGATGTAAAATCTGATTGGTCGCCCGTCCTGAGGGGAAAGAGAGGGAGAGAGCCCGCCTGATTGATACCAGAGGTGAACTGCACGGTCCCCATGAAATCAATGTGCTTGTCTGCAGAGAAGTTCGCCTTCACTGTTTCGACCAGATGCGCCACGTCGATTAGGACTTCGACATGCACGTACAGCGTCGTTACTGTGGTCTGGTCGGTCGGCACTAGGCAGGAATGACCATAGTGCACCAGAAAGTCAACGCCGAGCGCCTTCGCACCGAGGTCGTCGATACAGCAAGCTCCGTAAGAGACGTCGCCGAAGATCGTGGTGATCTCCTTTGGCTGCGCTCGCAAGGATGTGGCGGCGTGTGACGACTCGAACGGCCGACATGGAGCTGCAGGGGCGGGGGGGGTACTGCAACGCAGCCACAATGCGTTGTACCATGGACCATGGGGACGCGTTGCAACCAAGAGACGTTACGCTTCTGCATTGAAACTCGGAGACGTTGCAATTGCAACGTTGACACGTTGCGCTGGAAACAAAACAGGCATGTTGAAACACGGGGACGTTCCATCTGCAGCACGGAAATGTTAGACCCGTAAGACGGAGGCCTCACGTCGCAACGCGGGGCGTTGCGCGGCATCGCTGGCCCCGCCCCCTGTGGCGCCAGTACGTTTGCACGGGCAAGACGGCTGGTAGCGCTTTCGGACGGCCTGGGGCCTCTAAGAAGAGCCCGTGGGCTTCCGAGACGGGAGGGCTTCTACAGCCGGGCCGCCGAAGCGAGGAACGCCAAAAACGGACCGAAGCCCCATGTTAGGCCCCCAAACCGCCCTCGTTCACGAAGCGGGCTGGAGGACCAGTCATGGAAGGACCTACAGTGGAAACTCATGCCAAGGAACACCCTGCTTGCCTCGAGGGTGCCCTGGGTTTCTTGGGTTCCGAAGGTTTTGCGATGGAAAGCATGACGTTCCCACACCAAAAATCAGTGGACGTCCTGGGGTCTCAGGGTTGGGTTTCTCGTGGAAGGCTTCTGGTCGTCGAGCTCCTGCTGTAAGGAACATCGAGCCCCTTCCGAACCCAAACTGTGAGGAGGAGGAGGAGGAGGAGGAGGAGGAGGAGGAGAAGGGAGGAAGGAGGAGAAGGGAGGAGGGAGGAGGGAGGGAGGAGGGAGGGGGAGGAGGAGGAGGAGGAGGAGGAAGATTCATTATGTCAGCGTCTTGACTGCACGACCCCCCCCCCCGTGCCTCCTCAGACGCCCGTCCCCCCTCGCGCCGCCGCGGACCCACGCCTGCTCGAGACCGCCCCCCCCCCAGACCCGTCTCCGTGTCCCTCTTGGCATGCTGTTTTCGGCGGCGAGTGAGGGCGCGCCCCCTGAGATCCTTCAGCTCAGCGACCTGGCCCCTGAGCGTCTCCATTAGCGACTGGGGAGGCGAGGATAACTGAACTGATGGATTTCGGTACGCCAGGAAACCAGAATCCATCAATTCAGTGATCCTGGCCTCCCCAGTCGCCATGGAGACGCTCAGGGGCCAGGTCGCTGAGCTGAAGGATCTCAGGGTGCGTAGAGGGGGGGAAGGGGAAAAAGAGAAGGCCTTCTCAAGAGGCGGCGGGGCTTATCAGAAGTCCTCGCGCCTTCTGAGAAATGCTCTGGGGGTGGGGGGGGGGGAAGGGGAGAAGGAGAAGGCCATCTCAGAAGGCGGCGGTACTGCCGAGAAACCCTCGCGCCTTCTGGGAAATGTTCCGTGTCCTCGGGGAAGGCTTGGAGAACTTCTCAAAGGCCAGGGGACTCCCGAGCCTTCTAAGAATGCCTTCTCCTTCTCACTTCCCCCCCGAGCTCGCCGCCACGTTTTAGCGAGCAAGAATCCACCCTCATAAGAAGCACCCCGACACGTGAAGCCGTTCAGCTAACGCACCGAAGGAGGGAACCGAGCAGGGCAGGGCTGTTTAGTAAAAGCCGAGGGCCGTTTCGTAAACGCCAGTTATCGGTAACTATCGGGGTGGTGTTTCCTCCCTTGGTATTTCTCGCGCTGGGTTCAGCGGCGGCCACGCGGACCCTCCAGGTCGTCACCCAGGGATATATATATATATATATATACATATATAGATAGAAGCACGTCAAACTCCTACAGGTCGAACTCATATGGCGCCACCCAAACGCGCGCGCCGCCGATCTCGACTGCGTCATAGGGGGCTTCCGAGGGCCGCCGAGGACCTCCGAGGGCGTCCGAGGACCTCCGAGGGCCTCCGAGGGCCTCCGAGGACCTCTCAGGACCTTCGAGGGCGCCCGGGGACCTCCGAGGGCCTTCGGGGGCGCCCGGGGACCTCCGAGGGCCTCCGAGGGCGCCCGGGGGGACCTCCGAGGGCCTCCGAAGGGCCTCCGAGGGCCTCCGAGGGCCGCCGAGGGCCGCCGAGGGCCTCCGACGGCGTCTGCGGGCCGCCCGATGGGCCCGAGGCCCCCGTGGAGCTGGCGGCGTCTCCACGGAGGGCACGAACTCCCGGAGGATGTCGGCCACGTCCGTGGCCCACTGCTGCAGGCCCTCGGGCATCTGCAGGCCGACGTGCCGCGCCCCGCAGCGGTGCAGCCGCCGCGCAGTCCGCGGGACGTCGAAGTTGAACCTGCCGGCCGTGGGGGCAACTCGTGCTGCATCCTCGGGGGGCCTTTGTCTGGCTGGCCCACAAGGGGTTCAGCGAAAAGGGGGTGGTGCAATAGATTCGGTGCAATTGATTTGTTGGGTTGCCATAGGTTTGGGGTGTGCCATACATTCGGGTGCGCAAGGGTCTTCGGGTGCCATACACCAGCTGCAATACAATGCAATACAATTCTCTGGCGCAATACATTTCCAATACGATTGCACCGAATCTATTGCACCACCCCCTTGAATCTGGACCCCCTGTTGGGTCACGAAGATTGTCTGTCCCGTCGCGGCCCTATCCGCGTCGAATTCGTACCGAATTCCGAGTCGGCCGCGTCGGATCCGCGTCGATATGCGTGTCGATTCCGCGCCGAATCCACGCCAATTCGCGTCGAGTGCGCATCGAGCCCGCGTCGGGCACACGAGACGACACAATGTATGTTGGGACAGGCCCCCAGAAGATGCAACGTAACCATGGGGGTGACTCAAGACAACCCTGCGGTGGCAACTCATGGGAGCCTCCCGTGCAATCTTGCTGCCTCTTGAGTCGACGTCGACCAACGCTAATCGGCGTTCATCGACGCTAGATCGGCGCTAATCGACACTACAGCGACGCTGGGTCGACAATAGTCAGCGCTAATTCGGCGCCACCTCATCCATTACCGAGCGCTACCGCACGCGAATGCACTCTAGAAACGGAATCTCGAAAACATGCAAGGCTCCAATGGTTTGCTACCGAACCACGCCACCCCAACACCTTTTTGATCCGAGGGTCGAGAGCGCACCTCTTCCGGTCGAAGTTAAGCGGGCCGCGCGAAGCTTGAACAAGCCACCTCAAGCACCCACCGCATCACATGTCACATGCTCCAAGCTTCTCTCTGGAACCCGCGGCCCGACGAGCGCCGTCGGCTGCTTGCTCCCCAGGCGAGGCCCCGACTACACATCCACAAGCGCTCCAGAGCATTACTCTGACGATGTACCCAACCCTTGCGAAGCGTGTGGCCATAAGAGCTGGGAAGATAATATGGGTGTGATGACGTGACACGGACTTGTCTTTGTTGCGAACGCTACTTGGGAGGCTCGCGAGCTGCGCCACTCGCGAGCTGCCATTCTCAAAAAGTGGCGCCGGTTTCGCAAGTTGCAACCCTCTCAGGGATGGCGAGGTCCCGCTCGGATCTGCGCAGCACCGGACTAAGCTGCCCCCCAGCAACCTTCGAGAAAAAGCATCAATTTTCGCAATTCGCAATGCCCCAGAGATGGCGACATACCGCTCTGATCTGCGTAGCAGCTCACTGAGCTGCACTTCCCCGCAGCAGCCCTCGAAAGTGGCGGCAATTTCGAAGATCGCAGCCACGCAGGGATGGCGAGGTCCCGCTCTGATCTGCTTAGCACCGCATTCAGCTGGACCACCCAGCAGCCCTCGAAAATGGCGACAGACTCGCAATTCCCCCCCCCCAAATGGTGACGTCCCGCTCTGGTCTGCGCAGCACCGCACTCAACTGCCCCCCCCCCTCCCATCACCCCTCGAAAATGGCGGCAGTTTCGCAGATCGCACCCCCCCAAGGATGGCGACGTCCCGCTCTGATCTGCGTAGCACCGCACCAAGCTGTGCTCCCCCCCCAGCAGCCCTCAGGAACGGCAATGATTTCACAGATTGCAGCCCCCCCCCCTGATATGGCGAGGTCCCGCTCTGATCTGCGTAGCACCGCACCAAGCTGTGCTCCCCCCCCCGCCAGCAACCCTCGAACGTGGTGTCAGTTTCGCAATTCACCCCCCCCCCCAAGAGATGGCGAGGTCCCGCTCTGATCAGTTTAGCACCGCACTAAGCTGGACCCCCAGCAACCCTCGAAAGTGGCGGCAATTTCGCAGATCGCATCCCCCCACAAATGGCGAGGTCCCGCTCTGATGTGCTAAGCACCGAACTAAGCTGGACCCCCAGCAGCCTTCGAGAGTAGCGAAAACTTCGCAGTTCGCACTCCCCCAAAACATAGCGAGGTCCCGCTCTGATCTGCGTAGCACCGAACTGAGCTGCCCCCCCCAACTACTCTCGGAAGTGTCGGCAATTTCGCAGATCGCAGCCCACCAGGGATGGCGAAGTCCCGCTCTGATCTGCTTAGTACCGAGCGAAGCTAAACCCCCCAGCAGCCCCAAAAGTGGTGGCAATTTCGCAGATCGCAGCCACGCAAGGATGGCGAGGTCCCGCTCTGATCTGCGCCAGACGTATCTCCGCTGGACCCCGCAGCAGCCCTCGAAGGTGGCAACAGTTTCGCAGATCACAGCCACCCAGAGATGGCGAGGCCGGAGGCAAGCACGAGAGACGTACGAGACAAGAAGAGAGAGAGAGAGAGAAAACAAAGAGAGAGAGAGAGAGCGAGAGAGAGAGAGAGAGAACGAAAGAGAGAGAGAGAGAGAGAGAGCGAGAGAAAGGAGAGAGGCGGGAAGGCGGAAACGCGAGAAGTCTCCTCTAGTCAGAACGAGGAACCCATACAAGGTGAGGGTTGGGAATAAGTAGAGATCGTCATGGTGGGAGTGGAGGTGCGACGTTCTCTCTTGAGACCAGCCGCAGCTGGGGAAGGTGTGCTCCTCCTCACCCTCCCCCAGAAAGGGGAAGCCCACCGTGTCGACAATCGACCTTCGAGGGTCGACGGTTTCCCCTTACCCATCGGTCGAAAGACGTAGGTAAAAAAATGAAGTAGGAAGGCGTTGAAAAAAGATTGGGTGTCCGCCCGCCCCCTTGGGAGGACGGAAAAGGTGAAGCCACCCGATCGATTGAAGTGGAAAGGCGCTCAAAGTAGATTGGAATATGGGAATCCAGAAATACCTACCTGCTTTCAAGACCGACGGGCACAGCGTGTCGCAAGAGGGCTCTCACTCTCCACCCGAGAAACGGCAGAAAGGTTGCGCAAAGGGGGCACGGGGACGCCTGGGCGGCCTGCACCGGCGGCCACTTCTCGCCCGAGCCTCCGCCACCGTTCACTCCAGAATCGGGCTCTCGCCTCAGGTGCTGGCTGCATTCTTGGTGCGGACGGCCACGATCCCTTTCGAGTAGGGCATCGACTACCGAATTGATCTGTACCCCGAATTTGATTTTCTCATCGAGTTTACGACACACGTCGAGCAGTGTGCATCTTCTCTGGCAGATCCGACGAACCATAAAGTCCAGGGTAAATCCATTCTGAAGTCGATCCCTACTCGACCCTTCTACAACATGCACGTGGCCGTGCTCTCACCCCATGTCCTGACTGCATCCGCCGCAGGAACCTGCAGGAAGACATCGGAACTGCACGCTTGCACGAGCCGACCTCCTGCTCCCCTCGACCCTGGAGAAACCAAAAGGTACCGATAGCGCTGCTCCCCAGACCTGTCGTTGTGCGTTCTAACCAGAATTTCGATGCGAATCCAGCCGTGTCGACGAGGGGAAGGCCCAACAAAGCGAAAACGAGGGAAGGGTAGCGGCATTGGTACCTTTTCCTCCTCTGAAGGTTGATCGCCCCACATCTCCGATGCATTGCCGACGCATCGGCGATGCACTGGCCACGTCGGCGATGCATTGGCGACGTCGGCGTGGAAGAAAAGGCGGTGGCGACGAGGGCCTCCCAAGAGGCCCAGAAAAGGGCGAGGAGCACGAGGGAAAGGGTAGCGGTATGGGTACTCTGCTCCTCCTCTCGACGCGCCTCTTCACCTCTGCTGCTGTTGAGGTGCTCTGCTGGGGTCCAGTCGCAAGCTCTTCGCCCCTTGGAGGAGGAGGAGGAGGAGGAGGAGGAGGCGGCGGAGGAGGAGGCGGAGGAGGAGGAGTAATGGGGGGGTGACCCCATGGGGGATGCAGACAAGGGCCCTAAAGGGGCGCTTTAGGGCCCCTTTCGAAGCCAGAGGGGGCTCCAAAGGGGCCCTAGAGTGTCCCCCTGTGGGGCCCCCTTCTTCACCCCCCATTTGGGCTACCTCCCATTAGCACCCGCCCGACCCCCCCCCCGCGGGGGGCCAAGGACCGCGACTCAACCAGCTGTGCGGCCCCAAACCTCCGACGATGCACGATCTGACTCCATCCGCGTACACCAGGTGCCTCGACGCTTCCCCCAGGAACAATTTGTCGTCCCGGATATGTGTGTTGATGGCTCCAGGACCCCGAACACGGCCCTTCGGCACCGAGGTTGGCGATGCGCCGTCAAAGCCGAACAGAAATCACGACGACGGAGTTCCGGGACTGGTCTCGAGGCCGGCCATGGCGACAGCACAACCGAAAGCCGACGGGACAGTCGACAGCAAAATCGGCACCCATCGAAAACTATTCTGGAGGCGGCCGAGAAGCACGCAAGCGACGCCGCAACGCTGCGACAGCCGACGGAACCAAACCGACCGAACGCAACCGACTGCGATGCAGCCAAACCGACAGAAACGCGGACACCCATTTGTCCCTGGGAAAACCAAGAGGTACCAGTACCGCTGCTTCCCAGACCTCTCCTGCTGTGCGTTCGAACCAGAATTTCGATGCGAATCCAGCCGTGTCGACGAGGGGAAGGCCCAACAAAGCGAAAACGAGGGAAGGGTAGCGACAACGGTACCTTGTCCTCCTCTGAAGGTTGATCGCCCCGCATCTCCGATGCATTGTCGATGCATCGACGATGCACTGGCAACAACGGCGATGCATTGGCGACGACGGCGTGGACAACATCGGGCTCCACATCGAGTCGCATCGCCGCTGCATCGGCGCTGCGGAGCGATCCTTGGACCCCATTTGCTCGGACCCCATCCGGGAGGCATAGAGAGCACCCCTCGGGTCTGGCCTGGCAGGCAGCCGACTGGAGACCTGAGCATCGTTTAACCGACCCCATATCCCTATGGGCGTGGCCTGGGCCCTACTGGCCGACTTACCCCCCTACATGGGGATGCAGGCAATTGTCTTATGGTTTCGAGGGGCATCTCCCCAAATGGGGTGCTGAGATGGTGGGGGCCTGGACGGGGATGGGGATGGGGGTGCAATCAAAACTGATAGTGAGGATGCGCGATAAGGGTGCAAGGGTCTTGGACGCCCATGTCAGAGCTTCCCGAGCGGGGCAGGCCATCGAACGTGGTTGAGGAAAAACCAATGATGACCGAAGATGCAAGGATGCAAGGGTACCCTTGGGAAATCGATCGGCCTTACTATCGGTGTCGGCTGTAGTTGAGCAGGGACCGACCGTCTCGGATTCCTGTAGGCTTGCCACGAAATGTTCTTAGAACCCCAAAACGTTCATACCAAAAACCATGCTTTTAGAACATAAGCCGGATGCGTTAGAACAACACGGTCCGAACAACACGTGTTCTAAGAGCATGTCGTGCAGACCGCAAACGGTTCTTATAACATTCTTTGGTGAGCCTAAAGTGGCCACGCGCCGAGGGGGGTGGGGGGAGGGGGAGGGCTCCTTAGAAGCACCCCTGCTTCTTAGAAGGCGCGTGCCTTCTCTATAGATGTAAGGCCGGCGCCTTCTAAGAAGCAGCCTCCTTCTAAGAAACCCTCCCCCCTCCCCCCACCCCCTTGTGCGCGCCGCCAACTAAAGGCCAGCGAGGACTCTTCGCCACTGCTCGATGTAGGGGTCGGTTGAGCGATCCTGAAGACCGCCACGCTCAGCCGCGCGTCGTCCCAGGGGCCCGCCTGCGCAAGCGCCAGCGCGCTGCGGGCGCCCACCGCGGCGGCCCCCTCGCGGGCAGGCTCGGCCGCCTCTTGGGGCAGCACGAGCCGGCTGCACGCCAAGAGTGGCAGCAGGGGGAGGAGGGGGAGGAGGAGGGGGAGAATAGAGAGGGATGGGGAGGAGGAGAAGGAGGAGGAGGAGGAGGAGGAGGAGGAGGAGGAGGAGGAGGAGGACAAACCGCTGGTGCGCGGCCTCAGGGGGCCGCGGGGAGGCCAAGCCCAGCTCGAACGCGGGGAAGACCCCGATGCGCCCGCACCGAGAAGGCAGGCCCCGCTGCCGCAGCTCCCTGGACCTCCTCCTCCTCCTCCTCCTCCTCCACCACCTCCTCCTCTTTTTCCTTCTCCGCCTCCTCCGTCTTCTCCTGCTCCTCCGCCTCATCCTCCTCCTCCTCCTCCGCGCTCTCTCATGGCATGAAATCCTGTCCTGTAGGTTCTGCCATCGGCCCCTCCTGCGGGTGCCGCATGGCATCGAAAGAGGGGGCCATTCCGAAAATGAGAAGCGGACGGGGGCCCGACAGGAAAAGGTCGAAGGTGGACGCGGATGACGCTTCGAGCGAAGGAGGGGAGGAGACGGTGAGAAGGACCTGCGCGTCGTCAGCCATGCTCCCCCCAAGCGTCCACCTCCATCACCTGTCTAGACCTCGTCCCCACCCACCTGTCCTGACCTGTCTAGACACCATATGTAGTTGTAGTCGCAGTCAGGCTCACGAGAAAGGGCGATTGAAATCAGAGTAGATGAGGTCGGAGGAGTCGGAGGTGAAGTTGATGCGCATGACTCGCGGAGGTGGATGTCGATGAGGTCATCCGCGGGAGCTGGAGTAGGTGGAGTGTTCGGGGTTGGAGGTGTGTAGCCGTTGGTGGTTGGTGATGGAGTGGGTAGTAGTACCTGTAATGGGCGTCGGGCGCGTTGGCACCTCGTGCTGCTTCGCACAGTGGCGAGGCTGGCGATCGCCAGCGGTTAGGGGTGTAGTTGGGTGACGTAGTCGTTGAGCTTGTCGAAGAGCTGGTGGGCAAAATCGCTGGCCGAAGCGATCTCTTCTGAATTTCTACGACCGTGTTGTAACTGACCGGCGGTTCCCCTGCCATTCTGGCGAGGTATTCGAGCTTGTCCTGGATGTGGTGGTAGTGAGATCGGTATTCGGCGGTAATGTCTGCGATCAGTGTCTGTATGCTGCTTCGAATGATGCTGGATTGGGCGATTGTTCTACGTGCCCAAAGCTCATGAACGCTGTTGCTGTTGAAGGACATGTTGGGTATCGTGACCTTGTCGCCCTCGTTGGCAGTGATGGCGCCATCGGCAAGAGAGTCCTCGAGCTTGGCGCGGGAAGGGTAGCGTATGGTGGCTACCATAGGTTGTGTCTGGATTTCCCTTCTCCGGGGTGATCGTCATAAACGGGAACCATCCAATGGGCGTCTGGGGCTCCACCTGCATTGGTGGTGGTTGGTTGTCCTTCGTGCTGGGCGTAGGAATGCTTGGCGTAGGGTCGCAGGTGCTGGATGCAGTAGTGTGCATGCGTTGTTATCCTGCTATGGGTGCTCCCAGCTCGGTGCTCGTACCGTCATGGTCGGTCTTGTATTTGCGTGTACTGTGTCATCTTGTTTGATGGTCGGTATGGCGGGCGGAGCTTTGAATCTTGCTGGCTTGGGGTCTGGGTTGAGCGTGTTTCGAGGAGAGATTTGGTGAGCTGGGCTGGGTGTCGCGGCCAGAGGTGCGGTTGCTGGCATTGTGCTTGTCATTGTACTGCCGCTGCTGGTAGGTATGGTCGCGCGAATCATTTGGGCTATATTGTCGGCTGCAGACGTCGATGCCACTTGCTCTCGGTGAGTCGTTTCTCCCTGTGAGGTCGGTGCGCGCTTCGGGGGGATCTAGACGTGCATCTCGCGTTCGAAGATGCTGCGGTCGTCGCGTGGTGCGAGTACGGGTGTGGGACTACGCATCTGTTTGATGCGATGGGCGGGCGGCATGCGCGCGGAGAGTGGGCGCGCCACGTTGCACCAAGCGGCTTGCACCATGGATGCACCATGCGAATGGGGAGTGGCACGCGGCTCCCGTGCTGCACCATCGACGCGCTCGGTCGACCCATTCGTGGAAGTCTGGTTCCCGCGGGCATTCGGTCCGCATCTCTACGAATACGTCGTGGATAGTGGGTGTCATGGCTTTGGCAGCCTGCTCGCGCATGGCTGGGTGCTCTGGCGCTGGGGGGTAGTCGGTGAGGGATGGGGGGCACATGGGCCTCAGGCTGTAGTAGAAGCAGCCGTCCCTGTAGATGCTCACGGCCTCGATGTTCTGGTCGGTGAGTGCCCGGAGACAGCGCGGTTCGTAGCTGGAGTCGCTGGGGGCACTTCCAATGGCGCCGGCGTCCGTGTAGTGGTAACGGGCGGGGCTTCTCGTTAGGTCAGCGTGTGCGGTCCAGCCAGGTGGTAGTCCCCCACGGTGGGATTGGTCGGGTGGGGGAATGTCGCCTTTGTCGTGCGTTGGTGGGTCGCTGGGGCTGCGGAAGCTGCGGCTGGCCCCTGGCATCGTTGTGGTAATTTGCATGGGGGTTCTGTCTGGGGGTGGGCCAGGCGGTGGGGGCGGCCGGTTGGGAATCTGAGCGTTGGGCTGCTGGTGCAGGAGCTGGAAGGCGCGCGGCACAGGGGTGGGCGCGGTTTGATGTTGTGGAGTGGATCGCCGCTGAATGAGCTGTAGGTCGGTGCGTGTAGTAGTCGTGCGCGCTGGGCGTCGCGCTGGTCGTAGTCGAGCTTCTGGAACGCCGCGATCCAATCGGGGATGTTGCTGCGCGGCCAGTCGATGGGCTCAAAGCCGGCGTTGCGCATTTAGTGGCAGTAGTGAGGCAGGCGACGTGTACAAAGGCTCCCCTCGTCGATGGAATGCTGTCTTGCTTAGTGGGCCTCGTTGTCGAATAACTTGCCGATGTCGGTAAACTTTTCTGCAGAGCGCCGCCAAATATGAGCTCGGTCGGTTGCTTGTACTCGGGTGCGTCGTAATCGGGTCGCTGTCTAGTCTCGGCGGGGGCATCCACGTCGGGGGTGAAATCCAGGTGGTGGATGATGATACCCCGCTTGGTGGCCTCGTTGTGGACGTTGGTAATTCCATCGATTATTGCTGTGCATGTCTCCGGAGTGGTACTGACCTCTTGCAGAACATGCGCTGGGCATGCGATGAGGCGGTTGTCAACGATGGCGGGCCTTTTTTGGTAGGTGTATGATTGGCGCGCTGAGCTTGAGGATCGCAACGTGATTGACCTCCCTTGTTGGTAGTGGTGGCGCAGGGTATGTCCCAGCCCATGCTGGAGGCAGAACGGTGCCCCGATGGTGGCATATATAGACTGGTACTCGTTGTCCTCTCACGTCGGCCCCGTCATAATGTTAACTGCCTGTTGTCTGGGGCGTAATGTGGTGGCGATCGATGGGCAAAATGTAATTGTCCGTATAGGGGTGTAGTGTTCCTCCTCCGCGGGTTTCAATGATGTGTCTTGCGCATGCCGCAAGTATCCCTATCTCGCAGGTCGGATGCAAGTTGCCGTAGATGTCGGTGACCGCAACGATGTAGATGTTCTGGCTGTGCCGCTCGATGTTGCTGTGGGTGTCGTTGCGTTCTATCCCCTCGAAGTTGTTGCGCTTCTCCATGCACTTCTTTCTGGAGGTGGGTAGGGTCTGTAGATTGGCGAAGGGCTCCTCGTCTCTGTTCTTCCACGGTGGTGCTTGGAGCTGCGGTGGGTCTGTGCTTGCTAGTGGCAGGATGTCCTGCCTCCAGGTTGTGGGCAGATATTTCCTCGGGGTCGCAGTCATTGGCGGCGTCTTCTGGTGTGCGGTACTATGTGGCCGAGCGGTAGCGCGGGCAATTGTCAAGTCTGTCCGTCCAAAGGTCCGTGCCGGTCCACATCTCGTTGTTGGAGGGCGCAAGAAACCTATCGTAACCGGTGTCCCAACTTGCCATGACCATGTCCTTCCAACATTCCTCCGTTGCGGCGAGGTAGGCGATGGCGATGTGGCGACGGTAAGTGGTTCGCACAAATCCGCGCTTCACTGAAGCGGGGACGTAGATGAAGACCAGGTCGACGTAGACGTTCGGATTACGCATAACGGCGTGTGAGGGCGTAGTATGCGTGAATTCCTTGTGATGGCCTGACGATGCCTGAGCACGCAGTGGCACCTGGCTCGGCTCGGGGGTCTCCTGGCGTGTAGATGAGCGCCTTCTTGTTGTCGCAGCCCTTGCTGTTGGACATGAGGGTAAGCATTCCCTCTTGTTGGTACGCTGGTGGGGGCTCGCTCCGTGTCTTACGCGGGGCTGCGCTGACGGCTGCGACCCATTGTTGCGGTATTTAACTCCGTTGGCGCAGTAGAGCTCGACCTCGTTGAAGTCGATGAACTTCGGTCGCTTGCCGAAGACTTCTGCGGATATCCAGATGACGTCGTCTTGATCTTCTTGAGGTGGGGTGGTAGGCTGGGGGTGGAGGTCCAGCGGGGGCTTCGCGGTGTTCTGCACTTGACAATCAAGTGCGCCAGGGGCGCGCTGGCCAGCTGAGGCTAAGCTCTTGAGCCGAAGCTGGGATACGGACGGTGGGATGTGCCTTGGTATTTGCTGATGATGTGGTGAGAGGTGGCATCTATTTTACAGGGCGAGCGACCGGGCGCCACGGTGAGGCGTGCCAGACACAATGCCGAGGTAAGAGTCTGTCTCCTAAGCAGGGGGGCGCCATGGCCAGCAATGAGGGGTGGCCACCGCCCGTCAGGATCATCCTGCTGCGCTCCATTGCCGCCCGTGAAAAATAAGCACGTGGTCGCTTCCTCCCTGGAAATCGTAGCACGGGTCCAATTGGATGTATAACTCCGCGATGTCGTATTCCATGTCCAAATGCTCGCGGTCTCGTGGTTGCGTCCATCTGTGGTGGATGGCATCGATGATGGCGCGAGCAGATAGTCTGCGCATCTCGGCGGCGCATGCCTTGGCGGCGGAGCTCTTCCACGAGCCGTCAGGGCTCACTCCAATTAATGGGGGGCGGCAGCCTATGCTGTGCGTGGTCGGTTGAACAGCTATCTGTCCAGCCATGCATTGGTCGACAGTGATGGCACCCACCCCGTCAATTCCACTCAGGTGTGTTAGCTCTGGTAGTAGCCAGCTGCTTGCTGCGTCTCGCACATCGTTGGCTGTGGCGGGGTGCTCCATGATAATGGGGGCCTGCGTGCTGACGCATGTGTATGCGAAGAGGATGGTGGTGCGCAATAGCTGGCTGCCGCTGTGTAGTTGATCGAGCCCTGGTAGTGGCACATAGACGTACGTTGTAATCCCCGTGGGTGCTGTCGGCTCCTCAGAGATCATGGCTGGTGCCGTAAGGTCGCCCACAATGCGGTGCCGCGCAGCGCTCCCTGTCTCGCGGGGTGGTCCAGCTATGATCGCGGCGACGCGATCGCGTAGGAGCTGGTCTCTCCAGAACTGTATGGTGTCCCATCTAGTGGGGTCCCCCGTGATCTGGTCGTGGGTGGTGTCGATGGGAAGTGTTCTGTCGCTGTTGTCGATGGGGTTGGGGAACACTATCCACTGTTGTATGTGCAAGATAACATGTCTCGAGGTCCCTGCGGGTCTAGGTATGAGCGTAGGGGGCGATGCTTGCCCCCCGTGGTACTGTAGCAGGTATCGGTCGCTCTCTTGTAGCCTCGTGGTCCTTGGTGTACAACGGCGGGGTGTCCGCCTTGTAGCTGACGGTGTGGACGCGGGGTGGAGGTAATCCCGCCTTGATGTTGGCTCTTTGCTCGACGCGTATGGCCACTCTGTTCGCCTCTGTGGTTGCCTCGTCATGCCTGTCTGTGTCGCGTTGCCATGGCGCTGCGAATGCGGTGCATGCTGGTAAGTGTTTGACAAGTCGTCCAAATGTGTGGTATGCAGCAGTCCATGTCAAGCATCTCGTTCCGTGCGCCCATCTAGTAGGGTGGTCATCTGCCGGGTAGAGTTTCCCCATGTGGACGTAAAAGGCGTTCGTCTTGGCGAAGGTGGCGCCACACTCATAGCACATGAACGATTTGTCATTAGGGTTGTTGTCGGTCATGCGCGGGGGAACGAGGTCAGTGCTCTGGTAAGGTCGCAGACTGCTGTGCGATTGCCGTAGGTGCTCTTGGTCCTGGTAGTGTCGCATACAGCGTTGCGTCACCGTCTTGACCTGAGATGTAAAGCCTTGAGACGTCCTGAGGGTCGAGCTGAGGACGGGGTCGAGGCCCACTGTGGGGCGCAGTTTGTGCCTGTCTTCGAGGTACGTCCACATCGGTTTTAGGCCGTCGTATAACATTCGCCCCCGTGACGAGTTGCGGCTGAGGTTGACGCCGATGATTCGCAATCAGATGGTCGGGGCATGTTGTAAGAGTCGCTGTAGATATCGTAGCCTGCAGCTACGCGTGGCCATGTGCGAATATGGTCGTCTACGTCGGTAGGTACCTTGCCGTTGTTAATTTTCTGGTCGTAATTGTGCGCCTCGCATCCAGCTGCCATCCTGTCTCCCTTAAGGTACTCGGTCCCAATGGTATGGAGCTGCCCCTGGTTGAGACGGTTCCAAATGTGAAATCTGTAGAAGAGGACCGAGTTGGTGACCGCGTCGTTGAGGATGGTCTGGCTGTCGATGCCCAGCTGATTTCGCTCATCAACCACCTTGCGCAGTTGGGCTTTGCTCGTTGTAGCGTTTGAAATTATCCGCTGGATGTCTGGCCCATGTCCTCCGCTAAGTATAATGATGCCTTACGGGATCCGGTGATTGGCGAACTCGATTGTCTTGCTGGGGTGCTCACTCTCGTGGTGAGCGATGATGTTTCCAGCGGGTTGCTTCTTCGCTGTTCTGCTCGGGAGTCCGCGTGGAAAAAGCAGGATGTTGGCCTTTTTGGCGTGGAGTCGCATGCCGTGGGCCATGTTCCATTTGACCCTGATGTTGGAGAGCGTCTTCGCGGCGCCGATGATTTCAGGTAAGATGTTGCGTTGCATGCGGGCGCAGCCGTTCATGTCGTCAACGCAGGAGGTGTCAGTGAGCTGTGCTCCTCCGTCCTCACCATGTCTCGCGTGTCTGGAAGTGGAAAAGATGTCCTCCTGGTGCTCTGTGTCGATGTCTACGTGTAAGTTGCGGTCGATCACGTCCTCCACGATATGGCGCGTTACCTTTGCGAAGAGGTAGTTGAAGGTGAGGTCTGATGCTGGTGCTCCAGGCCCGGTGCCAGCGCGGGGCTGCGCCACCCTGGTGGATCCTCTCGCGGTGGCCCACATGTCTGCGAGCGCGTCTCGGGGCAATGCGCAGGGATGCTCATCGCCCACGCTGCGGTTGAAGATCGGCGCCCCTTCCATAGCCATCTGCAGCGCGGGAAGGAACAGTTCGGTTATGCTAAATGTCGCGCAGCAGGTCATTGAGCTCCTCTGGCGCGCGCGGCAGCTGGAAGACAAATTACAGCACGACTTTGTAGAAGGCACCCTTGAGGTCCAAGAAGAAGGCCATAGCCGATTCACCTCTCGCTCTGAGGTAGTCCATGACGCCGAGGGTCGTATGTGTGACGAAGTCGGTGGACTGTCGTGGTCGTGCACCACATTATGCGTCTCGTAATAGCTAGGCCGAAATATCCTTCAGTCTGGCACGTAGGAAGCGGTGGTGGTGCTTAGCAATTATGTTGTTGAGCGCTATCATCCGTCTCGCTTGTAGGTCTGGTTTGGTAGAACTGAATTTAGAGAGTGACGTTTGCCATACTCCTTTGTGGGAGAGTGATTCCACCGCTGCCACCTGTGCCCAAACAAGAAATGAGTGGTAGATTATGGTCATCTCGTTCGGTGCGATCTTCCAGTGCTCGTTCACGAGGTTGTCAGGGCCGCCGATCCTTCCTTGCTTCGCTTGCGTGAACTGGCGCTTCGTCTCTGTCTTGGTGATGACGTCGTGGGGCGGTGCGTCGCACAGAGTTCGGATGGTGGCTGCATGGTCGGCGCGACAGTTGCATGTATCGGCGATGTCCTGCGGGCTCATGATATTCGAGTGCTCTGCGATAGCGAGATGACCAAGCTCTGCTTCCGCCTGCTGCCGCTGGTCATGGAGAGGTTGACCGTCAGAGCCGATGACGTATAGGTGCTCAGCTGCGATGCGCCCCGGTCTACTTCCATACATCAAGAACCTCTTGATGTCGGCCCATGCTCTTCTGGAGACGTTGTTGACGTAGGCGCGCTCTACGCTGCCGGCGGCGCTCCCGGGGCACTTGGAGCGGCCGGCCCCGATGTCGCTTGCAAGCTGTGGAGAAGACCACGAATGATGCAAATGTGGCCAGAGCTATCTTCGAGTCGGGTGCAGTTGTGCATGGTGTATTCGCCACGCGTTGAAGTGAAAGAAAAGTCTGGGTTCGTCACGGCCTCGCATGCACTGGCGGTGGGGATGCGGGCTTCGAAGATCTTGTGGGCGAAATTAAAGAGCCTTCCCGTGTCTTGAAGTTCTCACCTTCTTGTCGTAGACGTCGTAGTCGTCGCTGGCATGCACTGCGCACGCGGATGATAGCGAACATTGTGGGGTGTTGGCGTGGCTTCCAAGGGTGCACCTTGTTGGTCTTGGAGGCCTTAGCTCCTGCCTCATGTATTTGTTGCGAGAGGTAGCTCGCGTGGTGGTTAATCTCCTCTTGGACAGGCGCCTGTGGAATGGCTGTGATCTCGTCCTCGAACTTCTTCTAGGCTCGTGGGTCTCTTAACATCGCACGGCCCACTGGTGCGCTGTATGCCGCACCGTTTGATGTTGGCCTTCCGAAGTAAGTCAGGTCGGCAATGGCTGGGTAATGGCCCTCGCCGTCCTGGTGGGTATCAAATTCGCCACGGACCTCCCGGTACTGTGTACATGACGGTCGGCTCTTGTCCGCATGGTAGGCACATGTAGTCGATTCGTTGCTTGCTGTTCTTCCCCGCATAAGCATGACTGGGCGCGCGTGTCTCGATGGCGGTGTTGGCGGCGAAGAGGTTGTGCTGCTGCAGGCCGGCGTGAAGTTTCTACCTCCCCTATTTCTTCCTCTGGTTGGCCTTCATCTCCAATGCGAGGGGAGGTGTGGCACTGCCCGTAGTGCCATATCGCCGTTGTACTTGTCCGTCTCAACGCTGATGCTGCCCCAGAATTGGTTGCACTTGGGGTAACCAGCATGTGGGCGCGGTGCGTGTGCGACCACGATGGTTCGCTTGAGCCCGGGCGCTGTAAACTTGACGATGAGTAGTCGAGGAGTCTGGGTCATTATTCTTCAGTGGTTGGGTTTCAAGTAGACCTGTTTGCCGTTCTCGTCGAGGGGGGGCGCGTGCTGACTAGCGATGAGCATCCCAAGCTGCGTCTGTTGCGTCCGCTGGAGATGATGGCGTACTGGTCGGCAGCGCGGGCCCCCCGCTGCAGTCTCGAGTCCTGCATGCCAGCGATGTGTACATTTATGTCGGAGAGCTGTTGTCGGATGATTGTAATTCTTGTTTTTTTTCATATGTTTGTCACGTCCGTGCCTCTCTGGGACCTTGAAGGACCGCGCGTTGTAGGTGCAGATGCGGATGTCGGTCTTCTTGGCGCTGGAAGTCTCGGCGCATTGTGGTGCGAAATAGATCGGTCGAGCTTGCGTCTTCGCTGGCAGTGCCTCAATTCTGATGGTGCATCTCCGGGTAGACACCCTTTACTTCTCTACCTGCTTCTTGCGGCCACCCCCGCTGCCGTTCTCTGTCGGCGTGGAAGACTTGTGCCAGCTCTTCTCGTGGGCATTGCTGCTGGTTGCCGGGCGTTGCTGCGTGCATCTTTGAGAGGCTGTCTGCTAATCCGTTCCAGGGGCGTCCTGCGCGTGCTCGTGCGTGGTCAGCGTTGAGGTTCACCGCCTCAGCGGCGAGGTCGCGTAGTAGTCGTACTAAGATGGTCAGCTGGTTAGGTTCTTGGGTTGGAAATTGCCCTTAGCGAAGCCTCTGGCAGTCGTGGGGCCGGCATGGATGGCAACGTCAAGCTCGCGGCTGGCGCAGTGGAACTGTCCGTATATCCGTGCGCAGGCCCAAATCAGAGGTGCTAGTTCTGACGTGGTGGGGTAGCAGGGGAAGTTGTCGCCTCTGAATGAAATGTTGTTGCGTGCCCCGATGCTTCCCTGGCGTATATCGCCTTGTTCGTCCTCTGCTGCAATGGCCAGGGCCCATGAGTCCTGGGTGGAGTCGCGCTGACGTGCGCCACCTGCGCGCAGGCGCCATCTTTCGGCCAATTGAAAGGGTCGCGGCGGGCACGGCCCAAGCGCCACCGCGGCGGCGGGGGTAGAGGTCGGAAAAGTTAGCGAGACCATGCAGTCGCTGGCGGAAAGGTGGCGAAGCGCGCCTCAGGACGGCCGCCATCGGCCCCGCCGGACGGAAAAGGAACTGTGACTTCAACATTCCCTCCGTGATGTGTACCTCGAGAGGGGGGCGGTTCCCTCGTAGGTACGTCGGTATGTAGATGCGGTGCCCTCTGCGTTGATGTCCAGGTCGCCGCGCGCGGGGCCCGGGCTGTCGTCGCGTGGCGAGTCGTATCTGGTTGATGGTTGAAATAGGCGCCGCGGGGTCGATGGCTGCCCCGCCACCCCCCTCCACGGCTGGGCGTGCCGAGGTCCCTTTGTCTCCCCCGGGGTTAGCTACTGCTGGCGGTGACTCGGCTTCCCTGCTGGCCCGCGTTTTCGCAGCGTCGCTGCAGAGGGTATCCGAGGATAGGTGTCGTCTTTTCTCTGCGCGGCACTTGTGAAACAAAGCTTTGCGGCTGGTCGAATTCCCATTCGGCGCTGGCAGCGGGGGCGTGCATTGGGTCGGGCCCGTCTGGTCCTGGAGCGGTTAGCTATGGTGGGACTAGTCGTCCCTGGGGTTGTGACGTGCCCCTCTGTGGACCCCCCTAGTGAGGTGTCAGGGTGTCTCGCGAGCGTAGCAATATTGGCCCATTTGGCCTCGGTGAACGCGGCGCCCCCTCTGCCGCCGTGCCTAGCGGGTGTTTTGAGATATGGTCGCGGGCGCCCCCGCCGGTGCCACCGCTGTCGGTGTCGTCGTGGCGATTCATGGGAGTGATCTTCCTCTCGCGTGCTGTATCAACAGCGCATTGGCCATTGTCTGCTGCGGTGCGCACGGAGCGTCGCGGTGCTAACTGAGGTCGGCGTCGTTCCAGGCGCTCGCGAGGCACGCGAACTTCCTCCGATGGCTGCGTGGGAGACGTCGGTGGCAGTGATGCTGCTGTTAGGTGGGTTGCCGATGTGAAAGGTAGGTGCCGGTCGGAAATCTATCGGCGTCATGCATCCCGTTGGCTATATGGCAGCTTCCCTGGGGGGTGTGCATGGCATTGCTTCTGCCGTCGATGTTGGTCGGGCTGGTCGTTCCTTTTCGTCTGCGATCGGCGTCGGTGCCTCGTCTTCCTCGAAATCGCTGCGTGGGGCGTGGAACTTCTCCGACCAGTTGAAGTAGTAGTCGTCGTCCCACGGCTGCGTTGAGGCTGCTTCCCGTGGTTCAACTTGACGCGGCATCGGTCCTTTGAGCGGTTCGGGTCGCGGTGTGCGGGTAGTCTCGTCAGCATCGGGTGTCGACCTAGCTAAGTGTTTCTGGTCTTTCTCGCGGTAGCATCCGCCCCTCTGGGTCTAGGCGCCCTGGTCCTCGACGTCGGAGGTATCGGAGTCCTGAGCGACAATGAGCTGGTCACTTTGGTCAGCTTCTTGCGGTGGTGTCCCTTGCGGCGCCTGCAAGAGGGTGACAAGTGAGCCGGGACCGCTGTGGCTGAACTGGTTGGTGAGGTCGTGGACGAAGTCTGCTTCTCTTTCCTTTAGCAATGCGTGGATCTCCGTGTGGGCGTTCTCGAGGTGTCGGGCGCGCTGTTGCATCCGTGCCTCTGTAACATAGTGTTTTGTTGTAAAGCTGCTGGAGACGGTGCTCCTGTGACTCTATGGAGGTCTTTGCTGCGGTGAGCTGGTGCTGGTCATAGTGTATACGTTCCGCTTGGAGCACCGCTGTCGCAGCGTAGGCCTCTTTGTGCTGGTGGAGCTGGGTGGCGGGGTTCTGCATGTCCTCGGTCCGCCCTTCCAGTGCGTGGATGGCTTCGGTCTTGTTCTGGTTTTGCTTCTCCCCCGTGTGCATGATCTGTTTTTGTCCGTAGATCTTGTTCTCGAGGTAGCTGATGTGTTGCCCTGGAAGGTGGTAGTTGTGTTCGATGTGCTTGCGGGCCTGGTCCTCAATGTCTACGTCCTTGGCTTCAGCTGCTGCGAGTTCACGTCGTAGCTGTTATTGTGCGAGTTGTTGTGTATGGGGCTGCTGCGCTGTATTCTTTGTCTTTTGTAAAACGTTCATGATGATTTGCTGCTGGTGCTCTAGGTGCTGGATGGCTTCATCTTTCTCTTCTAAGCGCTCCTCATGGTTGTGGTACTAGGTACTCGGTGGTGGCGGCTGTCTCCTGGTAGTGCTCGTGGCGGTGCTTTCACTATTGGGGGAGATTCTTCTTGTGGCTGGCGGACTGGCACATGATGTTGTTAGCCTCGCGGAGCTCGTTCTTGAGGTTGTCAATGACGGTGCTGTCTGTACCTGTCTTGTGCACGCTGTGCTCGGCGATCTTCTTTGTCGCCTTCCTGATGTTGTAGATATCCTTCTTGTGCTCCTCCATATGGTCGTGCTCGAAACGCTGGAACTTGCGGTGATTTTCCTTTTCGTGTTCGTAGTTGGCCTCTTGCGCTTTTTCGAGCTGGTGGATGATGGCTTTCTGATGTGCGACATGACTTCGTTGTGTTTCAGCCTGCCATTGTGCTTCTTGGGGCTCTTGTCGCAGCTTGCTGACGGCTGCGGTATCCGTAGGTATTTGAGCCGCTGTTTGTGTTGGTGACGTATCTCCAATGTGTCCTCGGTGCCGTCTCCTGATGTTGGGTGCGGGGGTGTAGGACCGTTGTTGCTTTGTGCGTCTCTTGGGCTTAGTTGCAAATTCGGCGTCAGCGTCGTCGTCCGAACAGCCCCCCTGATGCTGTCGTGGAATATTGGAAACTGGCGACGTCGGTCTCCAAATACTATGGTTTGTTGCTGTAGTTCCTCTAGCTGTTGTTGTGCATCGCCCACTTGGTTGACACTGTCGTTGGTCATGCTTTCAATCTATCGTCGCTGATCCTTTGCGTCGTGCGAATAGAGAAACATGGACTTTTCCCTACCTGGGCTTTGCCTAGAAATATTCTTACTCTCTTGGCTTAAAGGGCCGGGCAGTGGGAACCGGCCCGGGCGGTTCCCCCAGCATCCGCCCCGCGGTTCTCCCAGTTACGTCCCTTAGGTCAGCTTTGCTTATCATCTTAGCCTAGCTTATGTCATATTAGCTTAGCTCAGCTTCATCTTAGCTCAGAGTTATCTTAGCTTAGCTTACCTTCATCCTAGCTTCGCTGAGGTTTAGCATAGCAGAACACAGCATAGCATAGCGTAGCATAGCATAGCGCAGCATAGCATATCATAGCATAGCCCAGCATAGCATAGCAGAGCGCAGCATAGCATAGCGCAGCATAGCGCAGCGCAGCGCAGCGCAGCACAGCACAGCACAGAGCAGCATAGCATAGCATAGCATAGCATAGCAGAGCATAGCAGCAAAGCAAAGGCAAAGCAACAGCAGCGACAGCAAAGCAAAGCACTCGGTCGTCGTCGTCGGTCGTCGTCGTCGTCGTCGTCCCCCCCGCCTAGAGCAAACAAAAAAACGGATCCGTGGGCAACGCCGCCGCTGCCGCCACTGCCGCCGCTGCCACCTGCTCCTCCTCGTCATCCTCACCGTCATCCAGCTCCTGGTCCTCCTGCCCCGGATCTGTGCGTATTTTGTGGCGCTCGCGTGTGCCAACCGCGTTGCCAGTTTAGTTTTCTGTTCGGGTGATTAGCATGGGTGTTATTCCCTACCTAGGCTCTGCCTCGAGGGTTAGCTCAGCTTAGCTTAGCCTGGCATAGCGCAGCGCTGCATTAGCATAGCATAGCATAGCATAGCATAACCAAGCATAGCATAGCACAGCATAGCGCAGCATAGCATAGCATGGCATCGCATAGCATAGTATATCATATCATAGCATAGCGCAGTTTAGCATATCATAGCATAACATACCATAGCTTAGCATAGCACAGCGCAACATGACATATCATATCTTAGCATAGCATAGCATAGCATAGCATAGCGCAGCATATCATAACATATCATACCATAGCGCAGCATAGCATGGCATGGCATAGCATAGCAACTAATGCTGCTTTCCTAGGGGCTCCAACTTCTAGGTAGGGTCGCACTGGGGTAATTGTAGTCTGATCTTGGTGACGATGCCGTGGAAGTCGTACTCCTCCTCTTCCTCCTCCTCCTCCTCCTCCTCCTCCTCCTCCTCCTCCTGCTCCTCCTCCTCCTCCTCCTCCTCGTCCTCCCCCCCTCTTCCTCCGAGCCTCGGCCGCCACAGCCTCGCGCCCTCCGCAGCACGGGCCGCCCGCCGCGCACGACTGCACGGCCGCGCGCGCGGCGGCCCCCCCGGCAGGGGCGCCAGCGCCGGTGGGCCTGGCAGTGCCAGGCGGGGCGGCCGCGTGTGGGGAGAGCACCTCCGCGTCCTCGGGAGAGGCGGCGACGGCCACGACGACAACGTCGACGACCACGACGAGGAGAAAGGCGACGACCACGGCGACGACCACGACGACGACGACGACAACCACGACGACGACGACGACCACCACCACGACAACGACGACGACGACGACCACGGCGACGACCACGGCGACGACCGCGGCGAAGACCACGTCAACAACGACGACGACGACGGAAGAGACGGCGACGACCACGGCGACGACCAAGACGACAACGATGACGAGACGGGTGAGGATGAGAAGGAGCAGAAGCAGGGGCAGAAACTCGCTCTCTTCCGACCGCCGCTTCTGGCCTCCCCGAAGGCCCCATCGTGGCCACGGCTGGGCGCAAGTCGCAAAACTGGTCAGGATAAGACCTGGGCAGGTGGACGCCCGAATAACGGTCCGGGATAGCTCCGGCCCGGACCTCGAGGCCCGAACCCCTAGTATAGCTACCCCTCACTGCACCCAGCCCCGACAATTCGGGAGGGCTGGACACCCGAATCATCTGGGATGACTGCGGTCCAGGGTCAAAAAACGCTGGCCCAGCTTCTCGGTAGGAGGTGTCTTGATCAGCTGCTCGACTACACTGTTTCATGGGAAATCGGCGTGTACGCTGCATGCAGATGTTTCCCTCCAGGGACTCGCGCGCGCACCCACCTCGCCAGCGGGCGGCGCTCACGCGCGCGCGGCCCTGCCTCCGACGGCTCGGCGACGTGGGCCGCGCGTGCAGGCGCTCGTGCGCGGGCAAGTTTCCCCAGAAAACTGCCGGAAGCAGTGCTACGACGGGAGTGGTGCCACTTTGGGATGGGCTCAGGATGCGCTTCAGGACTCGAGCTCCAGAGTCTCTGGCGGCCCTCGAGTCTGCAACCACTGTGGAACGGAAGAGGCCCTGGAAATCCGGGAAATCCTGCAACGTATAATTGTCATGACCTCCTGCTCCTCTGAAGTATTCCGCCGCGCTCAGGCGGGAACGCCGCGTCAGGCGAATTCCGCCCGCGGCGGAGGCGAGAACGACATTTCGCCCGCCCACGCGCGGCCTCTCGCCCGCTTCTGACGACGGGGCGAGCGAGACACGTGCCCCGCGCCCAAGCGTGAACGCCGCTTCCAAGCAAACGCTGCGCGGTTATGTGGGCGGGAATGGCATACTATGCACCGCGCCCGAGAAGGAACACCACTTGAAGGCGCAATACGCACGGCCTTAGGGCAAGAGCGATTTTGCTTTGCGCCCGCTCGCACGTGGCCTCGCTTCCGACGACTGTGAGTACACGAAACATGCGTGCCGCGCCAAGGCAGGAGCGCAACTGTCAAGTGGAAACCATGTGCGGCCCTTGAGCCCAAACTGCACTCCGTCCGCGCGAGCGCGACCCCACGTCAGACGACGGGGTGAACAAAAAGAGAAGAGACGCACACACACACAAACACACACACACACATGCGCACACATACATACACTTAGGTCGGGCATGTCGTCCTACAGGCGGATTTTGGGCGAACATAAACGCTCCCCCCCAAAAAAACAAACATGGTCAACACATATTCAAACATCGTTCCCTGCATATTTTTTGACTATTTTGGAATGGTCCTCCTGTGAAGGGACAGACCCGACTTAAACACACACACACACACACACACGCACGCACGCACGCACGCACGCACGCACACACACACACACACACACACACACACACACGCACACGCTTCCTCCGCCTGCGCGCGGCCCCGCTTCCGCGGTCGACGGCCTGGCGATATCATACACATCCTGCGCCCCGCGAAAAAAAAAGGGAGCGCCGCTTCTCCATTGGAAATCGGCCCTTCGGGGAGAGAGAGTGGCCACATGCGAACCCTACCCATCTCTGAGGGGGAGCGTGGGGTTCACTTCGCTCAGGAGCTCCCGGGCAAAGTGAACCGCACCCTCCCCCTCAGAAATCGTGGGGGGAAGGGGCAGCGTTCACATGTGGCCCCCGACTGGGGAGAGTGGCCCGCTCGCCCGCTCGCGCGTGGCCCCGCCTCCAAGGACTGGATGGCAAGCTTGGGCGCCACTTTCGGGTGAAGCCTGCACGGCTCTGACGCGAGACCCGCGTTTCGCCCGCTTGCCCGCGGCCACGCGTCCGACGGATTGGCAAGCAACGGAAATGCTCCGCACCTACGCGGAAGCGCAGCTTTCAGGAACAACACGCGAGGTGCTGGGGCGAGAGTTGCACTTCGCCAGTTCGCACGCTGTGCACGCCCTGCCGAATTTCCCCCCATGTTTTTTGCATAGTCGACTCCTCCTCCCTCCTCCTCCTCCTCCTTCTCCTCCTCCTCCTCCTCCTCCTCCTCCTCTTCTCCTTCTCCTTCTCCCTCTCCCTATCCACCTTCTCCTCCTCCTCCTCCTCCTCCTCCTCCTCCTCCTCACGCCTCCTCCTCCTCCTCTTCCTCCTTCTCCTCCTCCTGGAACCAAGAACGCTGACTCTATATCACATGACGGATATAGGATAGATATCCTGGACATGACCCTTATCGGCCGGCTGGGTGGCCGAGCGGGAGTACAAACCCAAACGATAAGCATAATTAGGGGGGACGGGGACGGGGAGGGCGGGCGGAGGGAGCAGGGCCGCCGATGTCTCCACTGGCCCTCCATTGATTCCCGCAGTGTTGGAGGCCTGGGCATTTGCACCAACGCCAACACAGAGGATTGCCGCCACCTGTGGAACCTGATCCCGGGTTCCGGTGCTGGCGGTGTACTCCTTCGGCCACCTGGGAGGCCCGAGTAGCACCACCATCGCCGAGATCGGGATCACCTTCCCTTGGTGGAGGCAACCGCCGATGCTGGTGTTGGTGCCCACCTCGTGTCGCCCCGTCGGCCCCAGCGATAGGTCGGGCATGTCCTCCTACAGGCAGATTCTGGAAGAAAAGTGAAAACATAGAAACAACAATCCCAAACATGTTTAATAATTAGAATACGAATCGCAAAACCGTCCCCAGACTATTTTTATATTATTTTTCAATATACCTCCTGTAGAGGGACATGCCCGACCTAACCCCAACGACACGCTGTGCTTCGCGAGTTGATGGCGTGTCGCTCCGCTCCGCGGGGCGGGAGGCTGGGAGAAAGGCACGAGACGTGGACGCCCGGGGGACTGGGATGTGGACAGCGTGTCGCGCCGAAGTGCGGTGGGCCAGAGCCAGCGGTGCGACGCGCCATCCCAAAGTTCGGTGGCAACTCACTGGAGCCTCACATGCAATGTTGTCGCCTCTGGCAACATCGGCGCTGATCCACGCTAGTCGACGCGAATCGACGCTAAATCGACGCTGGTCGACGGTGATCGACGTTAAAACGGCGCTGTCCTACCGACCCCCAGACGCTAATCGACGCCAGTCGACGCTAAAGACGGAACTCAGAGGGTATATCAAGCTCTATTCCTGTGGATGCCATGACAATGGACACTCTAACAATCCTATCATTGAGTTAAAGATGTGTGTGTGTGTGTGTTCGCGTGTTTGAGAACATGTTCTAACTACGTTTGAACAATGTGCTTTCCCAACCCTCCTTAGTTGGGTATTCGTTTTGAATAGAGCACTGCGGTCTCCAATCCTCCTCCTCCTCCTCCTCCTCCTCCTCCTCCTCCCCCCGCTTCCCGTCTCCCGCTCCCGTCTTGTCTCCTCTTGCCTTGCGCGTACCTCGTGTGTGTGTGTGTGTGTGCATCCTGGCTGCGGAACCTCCTGTGTGTGCATCTTGCCAACGGGCTGCGATATGTGACACTGTCGCTACTTTCGAAGGCTGCTAGTGGGTCCAGCGGAGTGAAGCACCGCGGGGACCTGAGCGAGACCTCGCCGTCCCTGGGGGGCTGCGATCTGCGACACTGTCGCCACTTTCGAGGGCTGCTGGTGGGTCCAGCGGAGTAAAGCTCCGCGGGGACCTGAGCGAGACCTCGCCGCCCCTGGGGGGCTGCGATCTGCGACGCTGTCGCCAGTTTCGAGGGCTGCCGGTGGGTCCTGCGGAGGGAGGTACCGTGGGGACCCGAGCGAGACCTCGCCGTCCCTGGGGGGCTGCGGTCTGCGACACTGTCGCCACTTTCGAGGGCTGCTGGTGGGTCCAGCGGAGTGAAGCACCGCGGGGACCTGAGCGAGACCTCGCCGTCCCTGGGGGGCTGCGATCTGCGACACTGTCGCCACTTTCGAGGGCTGCTGGTGGGTCCAGCGGAGTGGTCCAGCGGAGTGAGGCACCGCGGCGACCCAAGCGAGACCTCGTCGTCCCTGGGGGGGCTGCGGTCTGCGACACCGTCGCCACTTTCGCGGGGACCTGAGCGAGACCTCGCCGTCCCTGGGGGGGGGCTGCGATCTGCGACGCTGTCGCCAGTTTCGAGGGCTGCTGTTGGGTCCAGCGGAGTGAAGCACCGCGGGGACCTGAGCGAGACCTCGCCGCCCCTGGGGGGCTGCGATCTGCGACGCTGTCGCCACTTTCGAGGGCTGCTGGTGGCCACTGCGGAGTGAGGCACCGCGGGGACCTGAGCGAGACCTCGCCGTCCCTGTGAGGGGGGCTGCGATCTGCGACGCTGTCGCCAGTTTCGAGGGCTGCTGTTGGGTCCTGCGGAGGGAGGCACCGCGGGGACCTGAACGAGACCTCGCCGTCCCTGGGAGGGGGGCTGCGATCTGCGACACTGTCGCCACTTTCGAGGGCTGCTGGTGGGTTCAGCGGGGTGAGGCACCGCGGGGACCTGAGCGAGACCTCGCCGTCCCTGGGGCGGGCTGCGATCTGCGACACTGTCGCCACTTTCGAAGGCTGCCGGTGGGTCCAGCGGAGTGAGGCACCGCGGGTACCTGAGCGAGCCCTCGCCGTCCCTGTGGGGCTCTGGAGAGCTGCTGCGGGATACGTTAGGCGCAACGGGCGCATGGCCTAGCCAACGGGGGTGATTTATGACAGAGACCATCTGCTGGGCGATGGTCATACTGTTGCGCCTGCACGTATCCCGCGGGGGCTCTCAAGAGCTGCTGCGGGATACGTT